AAAAAAAACAACTGAAGAATGAAAAAAAGCAAACTGGTGAGATATTATTGTATCTCTGGCAAACATTGAAATACTCCAGGAGCAATAAATTTTTTACTTTTTTTGATGGAGAAAAAACGTGTAGATTCATGTTTGTTATTGAAGAATCTCAAGTGAAAAAGGTATTTATAATGGTAAAGATTGACTGAATTATACAAGTTAATAACATCATTCGTCATCGCGAATTAGTAGACATGAAATTTAAAAAATTTTTTAACTAGCTTTTATCATTTTTCTTGTTGTATTCTGTTGACGGAAAGCCTGTATATAACCATTATGTAGATAACAAAAATAAACTTTGAAAAGAAGTGCATTTGTCATTAACAAACGTAAAAACAATAATTAAAATCGACAGAAATAGTCTTCATCATGTCTCTATCTTCTTTAGGTTTGGACAGGCTCTCTTTCGAATGTAGATATGGGTGAGTGTCGATTGATTCAAAAGTTCACACCCATCCCTTCATCTGGAATTTGTTTGTTGATACGACTAATAGCAGAAGCAGATCGTACACCTCTGTTACAAAAGTATAATACTGATATATGATAAGATTGACAATCTCCATAAAACAGATGTATATAAGAGGAGCTAAGGAGATATCTCATTTTCTTTACTAATTTATATCGATCAAAAGAATTCAATTGGTACAGCGTTTGTGAAACTATCCGATGTTTTCTACGAAACCTTGTTATTTATTAAAAAACAAAGGATCATCAAATATCTTACAGATTATTAGATTGAAAAAAATGCATGTAACTTATGTTGGAATTGAAATTGACTCGTTACGATTGTAATTCTAAAACTACTTCAACTAACGTTTTCGATGCAATCACACACGAAATTGATCTAATTACAGAGAACTATAATACTCATACTAATTATCTACACAGAATGTGTAGAAGATGAAGAGAATAACTATACTTACACTATTCGTTTGAAAATCAATCAAGGAAAGATGATGATTTTTTAACTATTTATTACTTGTTTTTATGAATCAGAATTCATGGTTTATTTAGTTTTTATTTGTATAAAAAATATATCAGAAGGATAGTTGTTACTTGTTTGATAGCATCATATTTAATTAACAATCAAAAAGGAGGTATTATCTTTATCAAGTTAACAGGAAAATGTTTATCTCAACTCGCTCTTTCGATCAATATAAAGTTTAATAGAGTTGCATAGGAAAGATACCAATGGGCCGATTTGTGGACTAATGCGCTCCATCTTCCATTAAAATAATCAGTATTGAGTTGATTTCATATCTACTTATATAGAGAAAAGATGAAAGAACGAAATATATTTATTAAAAAATAAAATAGAATGTTTATTTTTTTTTAAGTTTTTCAGTAAGTTCAGGTAAAATTTTAAATAAATCACCAGTAAGTCCATAATCAGCCATAGCAAATATTGGTGCATCACCATCTTTATTAATTGCAACAATAACTTTACTATCTTTCATACCAGCAATATGTTGAATAGCACCTGATATACCAATAGCTATATAAAGTTCTGGTGCAACAATTTTGCCTGTTTGACCAATTTGTAAATCATTTGCACAATAACCAGCATCGACAGCTGCTCGTGAAGCACCAACAGTTGCTTGACCAGGAAAAAGATCAGCTAAATCATAGAGTAATTTAAAGTTTTCTTTGCTTTTAAGTGCACGACCACCAGAAAAGATCTATAAATAAAATAAAATCAATATAAACAGAATTTTAATTCTATTACATACAATTCGTGCACTTGATAATTCTGGTCGTTCTGATTGTGTCACTTCTCGTGTAACAAATTCTGATAAATCATTTTTTACTGATGATTCAAGTTTTTCAATTTTTACTTCTCCACTTCCATCACCTTGTTTTGCTGCTTCGAATGCTGTACCACGTACAGTCATTATTTTAATTTTATCATTTGATTTAAGTTTAAGAATAGCATTACCAGCATAAATAAATCGCATAAATTGATCTTTATCAACAATTTTTATTATATCTGATATTGGTTGAACATCGAGTAAAGCAGCTAAACGTGGTAAAATTCCTTTAGTAAATGTTGATGAACCGCCAAGTATATGTGTATAATTATTTTTCTTTTGTAAATCAAGTAAAACCGGTGTTATAGATTCACTAAGTAAACCTTTAAATGCAGCATTTTCAGCAACAAAAATTTTCTTTATATTTAAATTATTAAATTTTTGTAATTGATTTGCAGTTTCACTTGTCTTTTCTGAACCAAAAATAATACAATCAACATCTTGTTTTAATTGAGAAGCAGCAGTTAATCTTAAAAAAATAATCATAGGAAAAATAAAGATAAATAAGACACATACGTATTAAGAGTAACTGGTGCAAGCTTACCACCATCAATTTGTTCAGCAAGTACAAGAGTACTAGCAAAACAACGTGGACGAACAGTTGATATTGCTAAACGACATAAGAAATGACGGGAATGTATCATCATCTGAAAAATATTGTAATTCTATAATTTTCACACATTGAAAAGAAAATATAATCGTAAATAATACTATGAAAATACTAATGAATCGATCTAATTGTGTGTGTCTAAGTACAGGTATCGACAAAATTAATCGAAATCTATGATTCATAATTTTATTATATAACAGGATTGGTTATAATTAAGTAAAGTATCTATTTTTTATTCTATAGAGGGCGTATAAAATTTGCAAAATAATAAGTACGGACATACATTTATTCAGTAATTGATAAAAGAAAATGTTTCAAAACAATCATTCATGATGTATTAGAAAATAGTTAATAATAAAATTATGATCAAAATCTTTATTTAAAACAAAGCAATATAAGTAAGAAAAAAGGTTATTAAGAATGAGTTATTAGTATTTGATGCATTATTTGATTGTCCCGAAGTTGTGGTTGAAGTTGTCGTCGGCGTTGTTGGTTGCGGCTCCAATCTAGCTGTACGAGAACGTAATGCTTGTAAAGCTGACTCGTCACCTGCAAGTAAAGGTTCTAAAATGTTTGCTACTTTTTCATGATACTGATTGATAAGATCATATTGTCCTTTTGTCAATAAGGTAACATCGATTAATGAGCGTTCATAAGGCACAATTGTAATCGTATTGAAACGTAGAAATTGTCTGCCATCATATGCACTAGTGTTTGTGAGTACAACTTCCATATCATTTTCTATACGAATACCAAAATCATCTGCTTTATAAAAACCTGGTTCATCAGAAAGAAACATTCCATCGGCTAATGCTTCTTCAGAAGCACTATAGCCAAATGCTACATTCTGTGGTCCTTCATGTACACCCAAAAAATGACCAATACCATGACTATAAAAGAAAGGCATAGTATCATAAAATTAAAAAAGTTCTATACAAACCCTGTTCCATGTCCATAGGTCATGCCATCTCTGTACAAAGACATACGCGCAAGATGATCTAGTGATCGACCATATGTTCCTGTAGGAAATACAGCTTCGGCAAGATCAAGAACACCTTGAAGTACACGTGTATAAGCACGTTTTTCTAAATCTTTTGGAGTACCAAAATGATGTGTTCGTGTTATATCTGTTGTACAATCAAGATATTGACTACCGGCCTTTAAACAAAAAAAAGACTTATATATTGAATATATAGATTAAACTTTTATACTTACATCAAGTAAATAGACTTTATCTTTCGTTATAGATCGGGCAGTTGCTGGTTCTGCTGAATAATGAACGACAGCTGCTCGATCACCTGATGCTGAAATAGTTCTAAAACTAGGAAATTGAAATGTGGCTTGTTGTCCTTGATAAATAAGTAATTGCTCGGAAGATTGAGTTTCATTGATAGATCGTCCATCACTGACTTGTTTTTCAAGCCATCCAAGATGTTTCATACGTGCAACAGCATCACGTATTTGACATTCTTGCATTCCTCTTCGTTCTACTGAATTTTTTCTTGCTTTTACACGTTGTACAGGTGAATTTGTCAATGGTAATAAAAGTTTATCATTTGGTATTAAATTTAATATAGCTTGTGATACTTTAGCACTTGCCCAAATTTTACTATTATTTGGATCAGTAGCAGTTTGATTTAAACGTGACCAAAACATCGAATAATCAAGTACACGAACATTAGAAGGATGTAAACTTGAATCAAGTTGTGGAGAATTAACAAATAGTTCAGGTTGAGATGTTTCATAATTAGCATGTATTATAGCATATGACTTAAAAAAAGGATTGTATGGAATATCAGCACCACGTAAATTGAACGTCCATGCAACCTCATCAAGAGCACTAATGATAGCTGTTGTTGCACCAAGTCGTTTAATTTCATTTGTTACTTTAATCATCTTTTCATTGACAGTTTCTCCTGCATATTGAATATCATGAGCAACAATTGGTTTTTTTGATTCTGCTGGTCGTTCATTTGTCGGCCAAATACGTCCAACTAGATCATCAACAGAACGAAGTTGTTTTCCTACTACATTCAATGCAGTATTAGCTGATGACCACCATGCTGTAGTAGCAAATACAGCTGAAGCACCTGGCGGCTGATATATAAATATATATTTTAAAATAATATAATAACACATGTCAAGTATAAAATCTTACTGATGCTGTCTGATTTGCTTCTGAAACTAGCCAGTTTACAAGACTTGGTACGCCTGGACTTCCATCTCTCATCAAAAGCCAATTAGCACAATCCAGTTGTTCTTCAGCTTGAGTATAATATCGACTATCTGTCCATAATGCTGCCGTTCGCCAAGAAACAACTGCTGTTCCTGATGAACCACCAAAACCTGAAAGCCAATCACGTCGTTTATCATACGGTTGTGTATATTCACTTCCATGTTCATCACCAGCAAAAATTACATATATACTTATACCCTCTCTTTGCATTTCTTGACGAAGATTAGCCAAAATCATTGTTGTATTCTTCTGTGTTGACATAGCTGTACATGTATTCTCATCGGCTGCATCAATAAATGAACTACCGGATGTTATTAGAATTATTATGAAGAACCACATTTCTGAAATAAACTATAATACAAAATGAATTATATATTTCATCGTATACTCTGTATATCATCGAAGTTTAAGAAAAATAACGATTTCATTTTATGAGTTATTTGCTTTTGTTATCAAACAACTACTTGATTTGTTACAGTAATATATATTCTCTCTCTCTTTTTTTTACATTTTCTATAATCAAATGCTTCAGTATTGATGTAGGATGTATATAATATTGTCATCGATGAGTATATAGCAAATAATCATGACCTACCACTGTCGTCTTATCATCAGTTTTTTTCCTGTTAAACAACGGTAGTGATAAGAAAGAAAAAAGAAAGATGTAAAATGAAAAACATGTTTGCGTTTAAGTTGATTCTATAAATTGAGTATTCAAGTAGATTATCAAGGATACCTTCTTTTACATATAAATATAAATATGCCAACAACGAGATTCTCTTTTTTTTATTGATCATCAACATAAATCATTCATTGAAAAAAGGAAGAAGAAGACATATATATGACTTCATTAATCTCTTACTTGTATTAATTGACATTAGATAATCAAGGACATACAAACAATCATTTTATTTCATTACTAACTTATAGAATATTTTATTGACCAACAAACAAACAAACATACATACATAAACTGTTCTTATTCCATTGTTTTTCTCTTACTAATTTATCTCTAGTCATATATATAGATATATATGTAAATGTATATACAAAAAAAAAAGATTTTACTACTGAATAAAAAAAATGTCTTTTTTCTCTTGATTGTTAATATTTTAGAAACATTCGGAATTGACCCATTCATTTTCTTTGATAAATTTTTCGACTATTTCTTTAAGTACAAGATTATTAACAAGTTGTTCGATGACCAATGGTTTATTTGCAATTGGATCTAAATGACTAACTTTATAAAGATTTTCTTCAATACATGCTCGACAATAAGTAATACCAACTAAAAGAAAAGAAATATATTTTCAAAAATAACTAATTATTCACTTACATGGTGTAATAACTGGATCTCTCATAAGATCATAACAAAGTTTACATGTTAAATATTCGGGTATTTCGCGTCGTTTTCTTCTTATATCAACTTCGTTAAATAAATTATTCATTTCATTCAATGATTGATCAGTTGATTGTTCAATTTCGCGTAATATTTGTTCAAGTTGTTGATCAATAATAATATTTGTTTCTGTATTATGTGTTGATGTTAATTTCGGACTAACTGATACAACTGAACCAAGATTTGTTGTTGTTGTTGTTTGTTGATTATGATAATTTGTTAGTTTTGATAAATATTGTTTTAAAATCGAAAGACTATTTGTTGTATCTTTATCTTCATAATATTTTTCAATACGTAATTGCATACGTCGTTCTTTATCGGATTGTAATAATGAACGAAGATATGTTTGTAAACTTATTTCATTTTCAATACGTTTTTGTTCCATCAATGAAAAACGACGTTTTTGAGCATATCGTAATAATCGTTGAATTTCATCACCAAAATTTTTATTTTGAATCTATTTGTTTAAAAATACAAAAAAACAAATTTATATTCAAAAGAAAAAAAACGTTACAAACTTTGCATAAATCAAGTGCTTGTTTAAAAGATGTTATAGCTTCATCATATCGTTGTTGTTCAACATAATATTGTCCTAGATATGCATGAGCTTTAATATAATTTGGATCAAGATCAAGACAATGACGAACATCTTGATAAACTTTATCCCATTGTTTTAATTTTATATAACATAATGCTCGATTGACATAATAAATAGCTTTTTCACCATTTTGTTTCAATGCTTGATTATAACAATGAATGGCATCATTATATTTTTTTTGTAAAAAATGTTTATTGCCTTTTTCTTTGATTGCTTCACCTTTTTCAGCAGTCATCGTTGTAACATTACAATTACAGAAAAAATCTACAAATAAAAATAAATCTATCAACGAACATAAATAATAACAGTGTAAAAAAAAAGATCTGACAAAATATTCATTTTTTTTCAATTAAATAACGTTAACTAGTGGCAAATGTACAGTTGTCCAATTTTTTTCAATTTGATCTAATTCATTTTGATGCTGACTCAATTTTAATATGACAAGACGTCGATGAAAAGTCAATAGGAATGTACAAAATAATATAAAAATTGGTAGAAATACAATCGTTGTTGCAATAGCTGCACGTTGTGTTATAAAGAAGAATTTCACCCAACATATAATCGTCATTTCTAATAGAAATAAAAATATGCCTAAATTAAAATCAATAATATTATTTAATTATTTCCGTCAAGAAAAAAAAATGTCTCACCAAATCCTGTGCTTAATAACCAAGTAAATTCAACATAAACATATATTGTTTCATGTTCTTTATAATGAAGAAAACTTTCAGCTTCTAGTAATGGTAATAGACATGTACTTATCATCAAAGCTAAAAGATGTACACCAACAACAAGACATGTTAGAATTGAATATACAATAATTAAAGGTATAGATCCATTTGGTTGTTTATGATCATCTAATGATACTTCAACCATAGCAATCTAAAAAGAAAATAGAATAATAAGGTTATTTTTGTAAGTAAAATACCTACAATATTCACTAACCAAAGCAAAACCGGATAGTAAAGCACTTGTACGTGAAACAGCTCTTAATTTAGCTTTGCTTAATTGAAGACGACGTTGTTTCAATAGATGTTTTTTATGCATTTGTTATTTTATTAATTAATCTAATAAATTGTTAAATATCATACATTGTTAATTGATAAAATGAACAAAAAAAACAGAACACAACAAGTCCAAGGAGTGTCTACGCGATTCTTGACATTTTGAAATACAATATGGAATTTTATAGATGACGCTATATTATGAACAATTGATTTCAATAAATTTTAGAAATTTGTATTCTTTTCTTTCTTCTTGATTTATTTAAACAAATAACAAAAACAAAAATAAATATCTGATCACATCCTCAACAAAATTCACTGGTTAGTCTAATAGAAAAGGATTAATATAAGTATGTCGAAGTCTTGAATATAAACCAATATGATGAACTAAATTTGGTTCTACTAGATATGTTTGTAATTTAATTCGTTTAGGTAAATCATCAAAAGCTGTATCAATTGCGTATCCATTATGACATTGAATACTATTTAAATAATCAATAACTTGAATGTATGTTTGACGAAAATAGATTACACCAGGTAAACAACATGATGGTGCTGGATAGATAGCATAAAATGATGGATGTAATGAACGCCATGTCCAAGATACATTGGAATGATTAAGTAAAATAAGTACGAGTGTTATTAAAACAAAATAAATTAGATGTATATTATTGAAACATTTATCATTCGATTTCCAATTATTGCTATGTTTATATTTACTCTAAAATAATATTTTGTATAATTAATCTTTAGACTTTAAAGTGACATACCTGTTTAATAATTTGAAACAAATAATAACAAATGAAAGAGGAAGATGTAAGAAAAAGACTTGTTGCAAATAATTGTATAATTATATAAAATGATGGATGTAAATAATCAATTAACCATCTTGGATGATAAATTTTAACAAAAGCTGGTTGTTGTCTATGACCAGTACTTGGCCATTGTTGTTTAATACGATCGTCAATTAATGATAAAAAACGTTGATAGAAATTATCATGAATTGGTTCAGCATCATCTTGTAATAATAGAAGATGATTTACATTTGGAAATGATTGAAAATTAGCTAAAATACATTGTAAATGTGCTTGTTTTTCTTTTTCATACATATCCATAGTTGATTCAGACGAAATTGTATTGACAATAAAAACTGGTACTAAACGTCGAATTAAATCAATATCTGATGATATTTTATCATTCGTATTATTATTTTCACATAATGTTATTATAAAACGTGAATGATAATTTTTAAGTAATTGATAAAGTACTTGACCAACATAAAATTTACCATCACGATGATCAATATCTTGTTGACTATATAAAATTGATATAATTATTTGATCATTTACATTTGAATGATTATTTATTAATATTTGTTTTGGTCTATCGAATAATTGATAAGATGATAATGATGAATTAGAATTTTTCATATGAATAAAATCATAAAAATGTGATCTTCCTGTTTGATTTGAAATAATATTTGAATAATTTTTTGAATTTTTCCATAAATTATCAAGCCATTCATAAGCTTGTTTTTGTTCTTGTTTTTGTTTATTAATTAAATTATTACGAATTGGTACAATCGAAGGACGTTCAGGTACAATATGTTTTAAATTAAATAGAAGACCAAATGGTTGATAATAGGATGTTAAACTAGCTATAAATAAAATAATTAGAAATATATAGATGTGTATACGTTGATGCCAACGAAATAAAACATATGTTAAATTTGATATTATTGTTTTAATACAATTTCGACGATATTTTAAACGAGATAAAAACATTTTTAATATATTTAAGCATTTCATAAATTGTTGTTCTTGTGTAGTATGACAAAAATATTGTAAAAAATACGCTTATCATTGAAACATGCTTCTTTTCTTTCTTTCTCTCTCTTTCATTTCTCACTCTCATTTGCTGTTTGTCCTCCCATATCGACGATAGACGACGTCAGTAGTGAGAGATTGAAAGAAATTCTGTGAAAGAGAAGTTACACGATAATCATACTCTGTTGTTCATTTGACTAAATAATTGAGTCTTCTATATAAGATATGATACATACATTTAAACAACAGGATTTTACACAATATTATTAACATGAAAATCAATCTTTGGAATCTGTTTGAATTGTTTATTTTCTTTTTATCGAAATAAATCTTGAGGGTGTGGGTGTGCATATTATGTTCACTCACACCTCCATGAGAAAATATACGTCTCTCCTCGTCTGTGGGAAAACAGCAAGATGCCTTCTTTTTTAGAATCCACCGATTATTATCTATATTAATGAAGTAAAAATCAGATACTAAGACTATTTTTGTAAGATTAAAGATACATTAAAAAGCAAACAATGACAATGCTAAAAATCAGTGGCAAGTCTGGTTTGATTATTCTTTTGATTTCAATAATTATGATCAACTTAGTGGGATCTGCGTTGATTCAAAATGCAGCAGGTAGAAACCTTCTGCAAGATATTATTAAGAAACCTGTATTTGATATACGGTTCTTGTAGCCATTGTGCGTGTATTTCCGGCGTTTGTTATATTCCTCGAAAATAAGACCAGTATATTTTGGTATTAGAATGTGGTTCCGTAATGATTTATTATTTCTAGTTATTCGAACCGAAAAATCAGCTTCTTAATAGAAATAAACTAATGATTCATATGGAAGGACCTTTGAAAAGAATCGAAATAATTTTACTTTTTTAACATATGAATCGATTCGATTTCATCAATTCAAGAGCTGTTGAAATTTGAACTATTTATTTAATCTAACTACTTTATGAATTCATATCGATTCTTTTTTGAATAATAGGGATAGACGAACCATGAAAGATTTATTGAAAAACGATTTAGATGAATATGAACCAAAAAAATGGATTGGAAATGAAAACAAGTAGAGAGATAGTTTATTGAATAAGAGAAAAAAAACAAAAAAAGAAATTGGAATAACAACAGCAACGCGTTTCGAATGTTTCTTCTTCAGACTATATCAAGTATGCATCAGAGATGGGA